TGGGATGCTGGGATGACTGTGGGGTTCTGGGATGGCTGTGAGGTTCTGGGATGACTGTGGGGTTCTGGGATGGCTGTGGCACAGGATGGCTGCAGTGGCACAGCCAGACTCCCCTCACCTTCTGTCCCGCCGGTCCCGCAATGCCCGGCTTTCCTGGAGGACCCTGAGGACACACAAAGGAGCAGGGTGGCAGGGATGTCCCCACCACGGGCACCCTGGGGACACCGTGAGGATGTCACGATCCAACTGTGGGTCCAGCTGGGCAGGAGAGCTCCAGAGCCCTCATTCTTACCTCTTTCCCAACGGGTCCATCTGGTCCCTGCTCCCCCTGTGAGACCAAAGTGTGAGACAGTGACCACCACAGTGGTGACCACAGAGTGACCACCAGTCACCAGTCCTCGAGGTCCCCACTGCACTGGGGTACCGGGGGCTGTGCTGCACTCACCGGTGGTCCGGGGTGTCCTGGGGGTCCCGGCTGCCCTGGCATCCCTGGCAGACCTCGCTCCCCCACGGAGCCACGCTCACCCTTCAGCCCCTGCACGGAGGAGGGAGCGGGAGTACCAGAATCAGCACAGGATGGGGATGGGGACCCCCAAACCCACTGTCCATGGCACCCACCCAGCCCCATCCCGACCCCACATCCCACGGCTGGGGCTGTGGTGGGGGCTCCAGGACTCACCACTCCAGCGAGGCCAGCGGGACCCGGCTGTCCCGGGCTGCCAGGGGGTCCCTGGGGGCAGAGACAGGGGTGTCAGCGGGGGGGCTGTGGGTGATGACCCCACTCCTGGCACTGGAGGGAGTCCCCGCTGTGATCCCCCCACGGGCACTCTCCTGGTGCACCACGGGGGGCAGGTCCAACTTACGATGAGCCCTGGGGGTCCCTGCCGGCCTTGGGGTCCCATGGGCCCGGGGTCACCCTGGGGAAGATGGGGTGATGAGGAAGGCAGGGTGGTGATGAGGAAGGCAGGGTGAGGAGAGGCTGCATGGTGCCCAAGCAGCTCAGGGGTCCCACCCCCCCCCACCCCTCACTCACCTCAGCTCCCGGCCGGCCTGGGCTCCCTGGGGGACCAGGTTTGCCACAGTCACCCTAAAAGGAGGAAGGGACATTGTGAGCAGAGCAATGCATGGATACCCTGGCCCAGGACTCATGTCCCTGGGGATGTCACCACCAAGTGTCCCCACCGCTCACCTTTGGTCCTGGGAGACCCGGGTGTCCCGTCTTCCCCTTGAAGCCCTGGAGAGAGAAAAGAGCTGGGTGGGGGTCCCAGATCCTGCCAGCAGGGCAAGGCAGGTGACCCTGACCAGGGACCCCATCCTCCCCCTGGATCTCAGTGTCCCCAGGAACACACAGTGGGACAGTCCTGGCTCAGGGGACCCCCAGGCCTGGCTTCAGGGACGTGCCAGGCACTGAGCGCCAGGGAGGGGTGACAAGGAAAGCTGACACTCACCGGAGGACCCATCATCCCTGGTGGCCCAGGGGGGCCTGGATCACCCTGGAGAGAAAGAGACACGGGTTGGGAGTGTCCTGGGGGGGTTGCAGGGTGACTGTCCCCCACCAGCACCCCAGAGAGCCCCAGAGCCTCACCCGTAGCCCCGGCTTGCCATCCTTGCCATCCAGTCCTTCCAAGCCAGCGGGGCCCTGCGGGGACAAGGTGAGGATGTCAGAGGGTGGTTTGCACTGAGGGGCTCTGGGGGTCCCCGAGGGACCTGCTCTGGGCACCCCAGGCCATGGCAACAGGTCCCTGGGGAATGGGAACTGGTCCCTGGGGAATGGGAATAGCCAGTCGTGCTCCCAGGAGCACCATGACATGGGTGGTCCTGCCCCCTCTGGCCCCGAGGGTGACACATGGGGAGGGTCTTACCTGGATGCCCGGAGGTCCTGGGGGTCCAGGGGGTCCTGGCATCCCCGTGGGGCCTCGCATGCCCTCACTGCCCTGTAAGAGCCACAGGAGGTCACGGGCACAGCCAGGGCACCAAACCAGGGACGAGCGGTGCCATCACACAGCCACAGCCTGGGGGCACTGGCCCGTGGCACTCACCTTCTCAGCCATGGGCCCTGGTGGCCCAGCTGGACCGACCTTCCCTGGGAAGCCAGGGGGTCCCTAAAGAGAACGGGGTGATGAGTGAGGGGAGTCCCAGCAGCAGAGCCCAGCCCACACATCCCGCTGCCTCCAAACTCATTTTAGCAGGATTGCTCTGGGGCTGCTCCCTGCATCATATCCCACGGGATGTGCCCGTGTTCCCC